CCCGCCCAAGTGAAGAACGTGGATTCTTGCTCTTGTCTTCTCTTCATTTCTGATAGTAACATCTTGGTAGCTGCATGAGTCTGTTTATGTGATCTTTCTGTTGAGAATCTCAAGGTTACCATCACCTGCTGTTCCCTCATTTCACACTGGTGCAGCTGTGTGTTGTGTATGAGACTTCAGGCATTGGTTTTGAGTGCCGTGGAACCTTTTCTTCTGGCAGAAGACACCTCTCGTATCTCCTCTTGGAGCCTGTTGGGTTGTTGCTTTTGTTTCAAGGCAGAAAGGGAGCAGCAAAAGATTAGGGGTATTTTTAAGTTGTGAAAAAGTAAATAAGTAAATCGGGGCTACCAGAAGCGAAAAATAAATGCCTTTCTCAACAGCTTTCAAACTGTTTCAGACAATCCACCTGTCAGTTTACTGTCACTTTGCGACATTAGGTTGTAACTGCCCAGAAAAGTGTGTTTCATGCTTGAAGTGATGTCTTGTAACTCTTCACTACACGGATCTGTAGCTATGACAGTCATTTCAAATTTGCCTTCGGCTTTATTTGTGCTAGCATCAGGCATTTACAGTATTAAGCCTGCAAAACCAGTAGTTATTAGATTACCATAATACTGATTTTGGAGTTCTAATTTTGCTAGCTGTCGTGAAAGGCTACTGCCATGAAAAACTTACCACCATATTAAAAATTCTGCAAAATTGAACAAATATAAGGAAATGAATGTTTGTTCCAAGTGGAACAGGTTCTTGCCATAACTTATATGGAAGTAAACAGCAATCATCTTAATTGTATGCTACAGTCAAGGCTATGGCCACTGGAGTGCCCTTAGGTAACTTCTTCTGTGGATGCTCTCAACAAGAATAAGCCTAAAGTTACTTTACGCTGTTTTGATGAAGTAGGGATATCCTTGTGTTGACTAATCCTATTACTAGGAGGAAAGTTGATTCATGTTTCAGGTTACAGCACTGTTGGGGATCATTGCAGTCATGGTCAAATGTAAAGGGGCTACTTGGACTTGTTAATATTTGTGGTGGTTGTTTTTTGTTTACCTTTTTTTTTTTTAGGTGTTTATGAATTTGGGTATGAATGGTATAGGATTTGCATAAACTTGTTAGCTGTGTTGCTCTTCAGTTAATTTCCTGTCAAGTCGAGCCTGCTGGAAACTCCCCATTCAGGTGACTGGAGGATGGGATACTCTTGAGGCAGGGTCTCCATCTCTGGCAAATGCTAACTGAAACTTCAGAACAGTAGTGCCAAAAAAACCCAACCCTGTAATTGAGTTGACTGGTAATGATGCTGTTTCTGGTATGCAGTATGATTCAGAGAAGTAGAAATTATGCTTCTGACAGTTTGGCTTAGAAAACAAATGTAACAAGTAATGACAAAATATCCAAATACATGAAAACAAAAACCACTTAATGCATTCCGAATCTCTAAAGGAATTAAATGATAAATTTATATGTGCCTTCTCAAAGAGTAGAGCTAGCAATGACATTTTTAAGCGAGCTTAGAAAAGCAAAGCCTAAAACATCCAGTAGCAATGCCTCTGCCATCCTGAATGTAGACCTAAAGCAGAGAGAAATGTTATTGCTATCAAAATGTGTGGTATCATCAGCTTTCTCTCTTCCCCTAGAATCTCCATAAGCATGTGATGTGAACAAGGAAAAAAATCGCCCTTTTTTGATTGATGATAAATTGTATGCCATGAATCACTGTCTAAATAAGATGGCACGAAAAAAAAAATCAGAAATCTGATATGTTTTCTGTGATTCTGGGTATGCATTGATTAAATTAAAAGATACATCTGTACCTAAATATAATTATAGTCAAGACTTCAGTGGAGGAGGAGAAAGTTGAGTTGTCAGATGGAGTAACAGTATTTTTGTGAATAAGCAACCGTTGTGCGCATCTGCCCTCTAGTAAAGGCTGCTTGCAGAAGGAGGGAATCACTCTAGATGCTACTCTTGCGGTCTCAGTTTGTGTGCGCTATGTAAATGGCAATATGTTGACGTTACAGGATTTTATACCAAGTTTTGTGTTGTCTTGCAATGTCCTCTTATGCTTTTAGATGTGGAGGATGAAAAGCTGTTTTTAAGCATGTGGTTATAGCTTGATTTTTTTCTTCTTAAACAAAATCCAACTCATGGAGCTTGTGGCTTTTCCTGTTGTATTCATTTAAACTCAGAGAGAAGCAGTGTTTTAGGCTGTATTGTACAGCAATATTTTGACGGCTTTCAGACTAACTAGGTAGTAAAAAGACTGTTCCGTCGATGCGGGCTTGCTTTACGCTGGGAAAGATTGTAAGTGTGCATAGAAGATCTGGGACTCTTCAGATATTGGATGACTTGCAAGAAAGTTTAATCCTCCCAAAATGTTGAGGTATACTCTTATTTATGTATCTGGCATTCTCCTGGACCTTCCCCCTTTTTATGCGAAAAGCCTTTGTGAAGTGAGGTGGTTTTACTGGTGGACTCTGCAGCAGCTGCTATTGAAGGTAAAGGATGTGAGGCATCAGCAAAGGTGAGGTGCTCTGTAGCTTAGCTCCCTTGAAGGATCGGAAGCAATTCAGGCCAGGGATCCAGCTTGCGTTTTGTATTTGTGACCCTGATGAGACGTCTGGAATTTCCAGAGCGTAGCCCTTAGGGGCCTGGGGAAGAGGAGGAGGCATTGGTAGCTGAATGGTTTCCAAATGCAGGGAAGATGGGACTGTGCTGTGGCATCTGTCTGACTTTCCTTAGGGGGATTTTCATTTGAAAGCTTTAGTAAAAATACTGATTGTTTGTTAACTGTTTAATTGTTTGTCGTTATAGCTGATGGGGTATGAGAAAGGTGATAAGAGTTGAATGGTGCTGGGCTGACATGGCTGTAGGTTTGAGAGGAAAACAAAAAAGCAAGGAAACAAGGCAGAAGAGTTTTGTTTTGGTGTGTCGTGTCCCGTCCCCCCCCCACCATTGGATTCTCTTTATTTGACTGTAAGCTGCTGTGACTAAAACCACACATTTTAATGCTTTTGGACACACCCTTGACAGAGGGACAGCTTCAAATGTCTGAGTGGCTTTGGCTTTCATTGGAGACCACTGCCCTCTGACAAAGAGGGATGGTCTTGATATAGGTAGGTGAACTGGTATCAATCAGGCTTCAGTTCCCGTTGCAGGTTTTCTTTAAACCGTGTCTTCACCTGTAAGCACGTGCCTAAATGTTCAGAAAGTGAAAATGTATAGAAGCAACCAAGTCTAGTGGTGATGAATTTTGCAGGTTGAAGAACTGCCGTTAAAGTAATCACAGAGCGTCAGGGAGAGGTGTGCCTGTCTTTTTAATGTCCAAAATATCTTCTTGACTCAGATGGCATACTGCTTTGGAGTTTGCGTCTTGTATGCATGTAGTGTTTCGATGTAGCTGTCTAGTTAAGTTTTTCTCTTGACTTTAGGAATTATTTTCTGTCATAAAATGCAGAGTAAAGCTGATGTACACTTAGCTTTTACATTTCTTGGCAGCTGTTCCTTGGAGTAAGAAACTAAGTATTACATTATCTTATCAGTGTGGTCTAGTTATTTCTTCCACAGAAGCATAGGAAAGCCATATCGCTTAATTTCTAACAGTCTGGATGTTTTTCTCCAACAGGAACTGTTCTTATCAGAAGCAGTAATGGCCAACTAATGCTAGTATCTCAACAAGCAATAGCACGAGCACAGGGTCAGCCACAAAATAACACAAGCGTGAGACCATCTGCACCGACCAGCACACCTGCAATCAGAATATGTGCTGTACAGGTAACTTCTCTCATAGCTTTAATTTGACGTAGCTGTATGTTATGTAGTTATGACAGAGTTTGTAAATAACTTATGGAGGGTTAAATAAGCATTTGAACGCTTTCCGAACAGCATGATGGTGTTTGGTGTTTGGACATAAACATTACTATGTGCTTTGCTTTCTCAGTTTGAAAAAGCTGCTAGCTGTTACATATGGTATAGTTCAAATTAAGGCATTCCTCTCTGCTGGTGATGATGGTGATGTAAAGGGTTTTAAGGGAAAAAAAAAACCCAAAACAACCCCAAGGCAACAAACCTACCTAAATGGTTACTGCTAGTAACTGCAACCTTGTGGTCCTCTGGTGGGATACTTCTCTGAAGCTGAGGACCTTTCCCATGTCCCCTGGAGGTTCCTCAGCTTCCCTGAGGTCTGCTGGCTTTTTCTTCCATCTCTTGTAATGTAGTCGGCACACAAGTGTAAGAGCGAGTACGAAAAAAGTGACCATCTGCACAGGTCTTGCCGCCATGCTCATCCTTTAAGCATTTTGTTCTGATTAGGCATTGCATCTAAATGTCTCTGAATCTGTTCATGAGTATTAAACTGATAGACAAATAGCTGCTTTGAACAGTGTTTAAACTGTGTGGGCTATGTGAATGATGCCTGTATTGTTACTGTGAGAGTGGGTGTCTTGTATCGGACAAGAGCAGGTATTAACTTCAGTGACTGTTTTGTTATTGGTTTGTCTGACAACTGTTCTCTTCACATGTTTGTGTTTGATTTGTTTTGTTTTTAAGAACTCTGGCACCCAGTTACTAAAAAAAGTAGCAGCTACTCCTGTGAAACCATTATCTCAAACAACAAATGCTGTGGCTTCTACTGTTCAGCCACCTGCTGTAATACAGGTAGGTGGCAAGCTTTATAGTGCGGTGGGATAAGAAGAAGTGACAGAGAGAAGTGAAGAAAATATGGATGCATTCTTGTTATTTCTAACTCTAAGGTGGTTTTCACTGAGCTGGTAACTTTTGTCCTCATGATAAATTCTTTCCTGAATGTCTCTTTTTAAATGCATAATTTAATTATGCTTCTTCTAGTGTGTGTCAGCTCGTCTTCTCTCACTACAGGGGAAAGCACATGAACAATGGATAAAATAAATAGTTCAGAGAGCTATTTCCAGTGCTTTTGTACCCCATGACACAACTCCTTCAAGCTCTAGCTGATGCTTTTCCAGGGATGGAGACTTCCTAATGCTCTCTCCTGTTTGGATTCCCTGATTCCTGAGGGGGAGAAAAAAAGTATACCTGGAATGACGTTGAGGGGAAAATGAGCTGTCTGCACTAGTCAAGCTCTTTTTCAGGTCTACATTTTTTTTTCCCCTCATTAAAAGCTGAAGGAAGGTCATAGCTGAAGATGTCTGTTATCTAGTTGAATTTGGAAGACAGGTTCCACAGATATGACTATAAATAGACAGTGGTTGGAAATGCCTCATTATTTTTAGGTAGTGTTTCTGTCTTATTTCTTAGGTCTTACTTCTTTTTTTCCAGAGAAAAATGTTGTAGGACTTTTCTGAAGAGGTTCTTGGTACCTGTAGAGTATGAGACTTCTAGATACAATTCTTCTGTTCTTGAGGACCACAGTTCTGGATGAGCACATCTGATGAAATAAAAACCACTCCTTTCTACAGCCAAAATACTCTGTTCTCCTCATAACCTGGAGGAGAAATTGGGAAGAAGTCTGGCTTGTACATACCTTTTCTTTTGTGAACAAGAGCTTGAAGGAGACTGGGCTGTGGCGGTTGACTGAGCACTCAGTAAATGATCAGGATCAGTCATTCAAAAAACCTCACTGGATGTATGTTCTTGACCTTGAGGGTATTTGAAGGATTGGGGGATATGTTCACTGACAGCGGTAACTAACAGTCTGACTTACAAATTTGTCCTCCTGCTGTTGTTCTCCTCTATCTGAAACTGAAAACTACTCACAGCTCTGTCTGATCTTTTTTCTCTTCCTTCTCGCTACAGATGGATAATGTTGGGGTTGAAGCGGGAAAACCTAGAGGCCTCTCTTAATGTGTATTCTATTTTGCTTAGAATGGAAACAACTTACGCTTTGTGTCTAAGTACAGTAAGGAGTATTCCTTACCCACTTTTATTTTTGAATACTAGCTTGCAAACCATGTGCTTGTGACCTCTGCACAGAGGTCTTTAGGATATAAAAGCAATAGTCATCTACTATACTACCCTTGCGCTGCGGCGAAGAGATGAAGGTAAAGATTTCTTCCATCTGATGGATGCTGCTGCCTGCATCCTTGCGCTCTCATGTGGATAAACACTGAGAATCACCACTTTTTAAACTTACGTCTGCCTTTTGACTTGGTTCTTCTGTACGTACTTAGTTCAGTTTTGATATAATCAATTTAACTTGTGTTCTTCTGAGATACTTAAAGAGGTAGACATGGAGTATCTTTGTAAGCCATATTTTTTTCTGTTGTAGAAACTTGAACCCTTCTAACAAGCTGTAGGGCTGGATTTAAACAGCAGGTACAATGACTCTGGGGGGAAAAATAGTGCCATTCTGTTTGGAGTGGCTTCCTTGGAGCCACTCTGTTTTGCAGAGGATTGCAAAGCTTTCTGTACAGCAAAGAGTAAATAGGTGCCATATGGATACATCCTGCCATCACAGGGCCACTTCACTCCTCGCCCTGGGGCAGAGAAGAGTGCTGACAAGGGATTCTGTGCATAAGGTTGCAGGAACTGTCTGGGAAAAGAAAGGAGGAGTCCTTGGGTCTGATTTCCTTAGCAGCAGTTCATTCATCAGTCCTAAAAAAACTTGCTATTAGTCTTGACAGTTTTTTGAGGCCACAGGAGAGGAGTGTTGGTGTGGAAGTATGATGTCATCACAAAAAGTGGGAGACAGCGGGGAAGAAATAATCCTTGGCTTGGCCGTGTAGCTCCTATCCTGTACTAAGTACAACTCAGAACACTGCTATCTGCAAAACTCTAGTTACTGTCTCCAGGATTATTCTCCTCATCTACGAAAATATTTCCATTTTGACATTCCTGAATGTTTAAGCTCTGAGATTAGACAAAATACCTGCACATTTTTATTTTTTTTACCTTCTTTCCAGATGGGGTAACGAAGCTGCAAAGTATCTAATTAGCATCATGCTGGGGCACTCTCATTTAGATGCAGAGCACTTCTTCTTTTGAAATGACTTCAAAATATGCAGGATTAATGCCATTTTTTATGGCGACTGTTTCTGTGTTGCTTGAAGTGAGAATGAGAATTGTCAGTAGTGAAAAAGGTTGAGGGCAGATGACAGAAGTTAATTCCCATATATTCATCTTCTTGGGAAAAGGGTCCAGCAGAATTCCTGTTGTTCCCTCCCTCAGCTGATAAAATGCCGTTCTGGTCTTGATATGTAAACACGCTGGAATTTGCAAGAGATCAGCTCCCCAAACCTCATGTTTTCGGCTTTTAAAAGCCCAGGGCATTGCAGCTTGACAGATCTGTACTCTGTCCCCTTCCGTCTTCCTCCCATCCATCTGTTTCTGGGATTCTCTTGCCCAGTTTGCCTCCCTGTGGTCTTAGAGCTGTTGAGCCTCATCCTTGGAAGAGGCAGTGGTGGTGGCAAAGATCCTGCAGAGAGCTATTAAAGTGTTACCAACACTGGGAGCCTAAGCTGGAAAGCTTTCTGGTAGCTGCCTGCTTCTTTCATGTCAAGCTGGCAGCAGCTTGGTTGGTGGGGGGACCCACCCAGGAAAAAAAAAAAAGATAAATAAATGACAAAAGTGCCGTGTTTTGCTTTAGCTTTAAATGTTTGTTCATTAATTTTCCCTATCCCGAAACACTTAAAAGCCCTTTGATATTCTATATGATGTCTGTCCAGCTCTGATTAGTTTTTGGTTTATCCATGGTAGGGCAAGTTGGGCTCTAGTGCTACTGTGTTATCATTAATGCAATTAGCAAGTATTAATTCGTGATTGCTGGACTAAACTTTGGTGTTTAAGTGTGTTAAGAGTCAGTGAAAGCAATTGTGTTGCACGGATCTGAACCTAGAATTTGGCCTACAAAACCTGACTTTCCCTTTCTTTTGAGAGGTTTGGAGGAAAAACTACATCCAACTTCAGGTTTTGAATGCTAACCTGAAAATCTTGCTTTTCTGTAACCTGTGGGTTCAATCTGGCTTTTGAGTTTTCAAGTTGAGAAATTGAAAGTAGTGGTTTTTATGGAGGCAAAGTCTTTTACTCATACTGTATTCTGTTGTATCAGAACTGTGTTGGGTTTTTTTTGAATGTGGGTTTTTTATTGTTTTCCTTTCTTTAAAATCTGAAGTAGAAATACTTCAGTTTAGTAGGTTTTCCTCTGGAAACTACTGTTTAGCTTGGTTTGCAAATGAGAGAGGCAATTGTGGTGTTCTTTTTTTCCAAAACCTTTGTTACTCTCCTGTAGCTGGAGCTTCTGAATCTGTTGGTAAATTCTAATGAGATTTTAAAAAGAGGTCTCAAAATAACTGAATTTTGTGAGTTTGTGTCTCAGCAGAGCAGAAAGAGATCCAAATTGCTGCCCACAAGGTAAAGGCAGGAAGAACTTGTTAGGTGCATTTGCTCAGCTGGCTGCTTCTGCTGGCACATGCATCCTTCCAAAGTGGACGCAACGTCTTTTGCCTAATGCTTGTGTGATAGGAAGAGTAAGGGATATTGCAATTGGGAGAGGAGCTGCAGGGGAAGAAAGGAAGATAAATAATCACTTAAGATTGTATTTATCTTCAGAGTGGTATCATCTGGCTTAGCATTGTCCAAAATTCATTAGTCTTAGACTGTAGGAGCTTGACAAAGTTAATATGTTGGTTTCTTCAAGACAACTTTACCTTTCTCTCTTCACTTGAAGTTGCGGGCAGTGCTTCGGTCTAGGTGAGCCTGTGTCATTTCTTCCCCCCACCCTTGATTTAAAAATACAATTATGGCTGTGGGGGTTCTGTCGCTTACTCTATTAAATAAAGCCTTTCAAAGCAAAGGAATCCAAACTTTAAAGGCAAAGATAAAAACCCATTTATTTGTTTTAAATAGTATGTGGAGTGAGGGTGCTAACTTATATGCTAGCAGAATACAGTATGTTTGTCACGTTAGTCTTTGGTTAAAAAGTGTTAATTTTTCTTTTCAGCCAGCAGCTGCAACGGCTAGTGTTACTACAGTTACTGCTGTAAAGCCTTCGAGTACTGGAACACCTGTAAAACTTCCAGTTACAGGACCACCTGCACAAGATTTCTCCCAAAAGGCAGTCTCTGTGAAAGCAGAGGGCACAACAGTAGCACAGACCAGTGCTTCTACAGTAAGGAAGAAAAAAATTTTTAATTAAAAATTAACATTCTCTATATTCATCAGAGGTTGGAGAGCCAATGCAACATCTAACAGGCTTCTCTTTATTTCCATGTTAGGAGATGCTAGAGAATGTGAAGAAATGCAAGAATTTTCTTGCTACGCTAATAAAACTGGCATCTAGTGGACCTCAAGCCCCTGAGATGGGGCAGAATGTGAAGAATCTGGTGCAGAATCTATTGGTGAGACTTTTCTTTTTAAACCAAGTCTGCATCACTTGTGTATCAGTTTTGATGTTGACTTTATCGTAGTTTTATTTCTTGTCTTTTTATTTTATTTTTTTTAAAACAGCTGAAGAGTTGGAGTTGTGGCTGTGTGCATCTGACCCTCTTTAAGTCTTACATTATAAGTCTTACTTTTAACTAGATCCCATGCTGTATCCCCCCCCTTTCCTGTTTCATTTTAAGCACACAGGTAACTACAGCAGGAGGAGCCGATAGCATTACCACAACTTCTGGGTCTAAGCTGCTTTTTTTTTTTTTTTTCATGGCAGTGTAGTTTTCAGTCCCCAATGGCAAAAGTGTTACTGTGGAGGTTGTAGTGCAGTGCTAAGTCTATACTACTGCTTTACTCCAAGACAGAACTTATAGGTTGATAGTGAAGCTCCAGTGGAACAAGCATGACATTATCTATGTCTTTAGACAATAAGATGGAGAAAATAATGTGGTAGCTGCCAATGTCTCTCACTCTCTCCTTGCAGGTGGCTTCTGTACGGTGCTTTGTGCTGTACCCCAGCACAGCTGGGTTTTCTTGGTAACGATTTCTCTTGCCACTTCTTGTCTTGGCATTTGACCACTGCTGTTGTTTTGTTGTTCCACTGTAGCAGAAGGCTGCAGGCTGGTGGAGGGAGATGACTTTCCTAGTGGTACCAAAGGACTTTTCAGTCTAGAAAAGCGTGGTGTAGATGGAGGTGTAATTTCAGAGAGCAGATTGTTTTAAGATGCACCGTTGCAAATCTGTTTGTTTCCTCTTTTTCCTCTGCCTTTGTGCCCCTGCTGGACTGTACACCTTGATTATGTAGAAAAACAGTAGAATTGTTCCTTCTCATGCTTACAGTACTTAGGTTTTTTTTAAAGAACAGTTATTACCAGACACTAATACATTGTTTAACTGTGCATTTGTTTGTTTGCTTTATGTAATATTTTAAAAATACTGCTGTTCTGCCGTTCAGTATGTGTGTATGATTTAAATGCAAAATAAATTAATGTTTCATATGCATGAGAGAAATGAGTAAATGACAGCTGTGAAGTAAAATGGTCCTTAAGGCAGCATCTCATGAAGTGGGTGTCAAGTGCCTTATATACACTGAGATGTAGCGTGCCAAATCAGTGCATCTGTATTGGTGAGACCTCGGTGACCTGTATCCATAGCTTGAGACCTAACAGGCAGCAGATCAAACTACTAAATAAGAGGTGCTGTAAGTTCTGTTTGTGAGTATACAATCCTTAAAACCCTTGCTCTGGTCATGTAGCTCCTTGGAACAATTGTTCCAAAGGAGAATATGGGTGAGAGGAGTAATTTCTCTGTAGACACAGAGATTGATGCTGGGGCGCCTCTTCCTTGTGTGTCTGTACCTTCTTGGAGGAGGTAATGCTCTTGGTGACTCTGTGGCAGGGTTTCATCTGGGAGGGTGAGACAGGGCAGCAGTGTCTGGGGCTACCCACCCCCTTACCCCTATCACGGTGGCACTGAAGTAGTGAGTGAGGGGTCTCAGAAGTCTGCTACAGCTTCCTAACCCTCCCAAACCCTTGAGTTTGTGTTGGGGTAGAGCAGAAAGCATTGCAAGCTGGAGGACTGTTACCGAGGGCTGTTACCATTACCGAGCTAGAGGGCTGTTACTGTAGTTGTATGCAAAAGTGATGCTCTCATGTTCAGTTTCTCCTGCTTTTGAAAGATGATGTTAAGTGTTGTGCTTTATTATGCTATGTGTGTGTTAGACTAGAATTGTCTTACCAAAGCTACTGAGCTGTCTTTTGTCTCCCATTGCTTTAAATTGATCTTTATGCAGATAAACTACTTTTGCAGAAAAGAGTATTCTTGGTGGATTTTAAATATTTCTGCATAACAATGAGGTACTCAGTGCTACTTACAAACTTGTTTCTATCAGTTCACTTCAGTGAGGTGTTTGAACAAGTATCCTTAAGTGCGTTACCTGCCTGAAGTTTAAGAAAGTAATTTGATTTGATAATACTGAATCTAAATTACAAGATCATTCTATCCTAAAATCTTTTGTTTATAAACGAGGGGAAAAAACATGTGAATATTGATATTGAACAATTTCACAATAATGTAAATCTCCATGAATTTTTGATACACCTGGGGAAAAATGTCGTGGATTCATAGTTATAACTTACCATTGTAATTATACTTTCCTCTTAGGAAGCAAAAATTGAACCAGAAGAATTCACAAAAAAGCTATACGTAGAGCTCAAGTCGTCTCCACAACCGTATTTAGTTCCTTTTCTCAAGGTAAGTGATTGTGGATATGTAGTATTTAATGAGGGGAGGAAGGATGACCAGAAAAGGAAAGGAAAGAGAGCATTCAAATAGGTGTTTTCCCATGTCGCTTGAGGAAATGGTATTTAACCTAGCCCTGAGTGACTGTTGCTCTTAGACAACTTTTTTGGGGGATGGAGGATTTCAGAGGAGTAACTCATGCTGTGTTCTTAAATTGAAGAGTAAATTACCCTCTAGTCATTAGTGGAGACTAATGTTTTGGTGCATCTACAGTAGAGCAGCTATAGTAAGATGACCTTTTATTTTCTCATCAAAACTGTAACCATACTAAGTTCTAATACAGAAGACTGACAACGGAGGCTGTGTACAACTTAGGCAGTTTTTAAGCTCAAAGAATCTACATAAAGCTAGTACTCATCTGTCTGCTGTTTGTGTTTAAGTAGAGGTAGAAAAAACCCAGTCCCTTTCTCCAGGAAGTCTGGCAGGATTACTGCAAGTTAGGAAGAGTAATCGAGGATAACTGTACCTCCATTCAAGCAAATAATCGTGTAAATAAAAAAAAAAGAAAAAAAGGCACTCTTAACATTTTAAATCATATGGTAGAATGGAATTTATTAACGATCAAAATAAAAAACATCTTTGTATAGCAAGCATTCAGTTCTACTGAAAACATTGAAAACTTGTTTATATTTAATTGCAATGCACATAGTGTTCTTAGGTTTGATAGATCTGTACTTTTCCTTGCCATTCACTATGGGCACAATTGAGAATCAAGGAAGAATAGGCTGGGACAGAGGTTTTCTGGAGTTTGTCTCCTTCCTCAGTATTTGACAGCATAACAATGCACATGATAATGTTGATATTACTTCAGATGGCTGATGTTAATCTGTTAAAGTGTGGTATGAATAGTTTTGTTACAGTAGCAGCCTTTAGATGCTTTGCTAGAAAGTTTGCCATGAGTCTAGAAGACTACAGTCTTTTCTGCAGGGCTTGATACAAAATTTTCATATTGGTCACTTACTCTCTGTTTAATTTCCTGGAGGTTTCTTAAAAGCCCAAGGAAAAGCTTTAAAAAAAAAAAAAAAAAAAAAAGCTCAGGCCTTCCTGCATGTAGTGTAGCTCTGGCTGCAGAAGGACCAGGCTGTGAATGCAGGGTCAGCGTGAACGGCAGAGGTTTTCTGTGAGCTGCGTGGAGTCTTGGCAGAGCTCTGCTAACTGCCAGGGAAGTTTTGGCTTCAGAAGTAGCATAGCTGCCTTCTGCAGGGCCCTGGCTGATGAACCCTGCTGGAGGTGGGCTGGCTGCACGTGCTTGGGGCCAGTGCAGGTGAGCCTCAGTAGCTCCACATAGACTCAGCCTAAGTCTGGCACAGCTAGACATCATCTGGGGCTGGTAAGCCCTGGACTAGTTCATGCAGAGGAGTTGAGCTGAGACGAGGTGGCTGCGCAGCACTTGGTAATGCTTCTACCCCTGTTGGTCCCCGAGGAGTTTATTAGCTCAGGCACCATGCTGTCCTCACACACTCGGAGGACAAGTTAATAAGCCATCCCACAGTTCAGAGAGTTGTGACATGTGGTGCACAGACCTTGAGGCAGTTCCACAGAAGTTAAGTTGGGTTCATCAGCGTGGGTCAGACCCTGACCCATCATGGCAGAGGTGTTGCACGTTTCTCCTGTGGCATGCTGGCCCCAGGTACTGGCCCCATCTAGGCTTTTCTGTTTTGGCAGTATCCATACTCCATAATTCTTGACAAGGTGCTCTCTCCCTGTTGTACTCTGTATTAACAATGAAATACTATGACTTCAAAAACTTTGACCATGACAGTGACTAAACAACGTTAGCTGACTATAGTGTTACCATCCTTTAAAACATCTTGCACCCTGATTGCTTTTTTTTCTGAAATACGCTAAGGATGTGTAGTTGATACAGACTGGACTTAATTGGTGTGTAGCTGCTGGGCAGCTGTGACAAGATTGAGTGCTAAATGGAAGGTGCCTTCAGGAGCACTTCTCTAAGGTGCTGTGAGGATTCGTGCTGGCCTTGTTTGTGGGGGAAACACTTGTAGCTCGAGTCCGGAAAGAAATGTGATACAGCTTATTGCCAATTGACTTGCAGCTACTGAAGTGGAATTTTAGGGAGGACTCTGTGCAGTTGTCTTTTATCTTTGAGCTGCAGGGTTTTTCTGAAGTTGTTGTGTGTGTTTTGTTTTTTATCTATTCCAATAAGTGGAAAAGTACAGTGACTTTGGCTGTAGAGCCTGGTTGATTTTCAAGTCTGTGCTGGATGCTTTTGGTAAATAAATTACGTCAGGAGCATGTGGAAAACTGAGAAGCCTTTAAAAAGAAAAGGAAATGAACATTAGAGATAGGTGTGCCACAGAAGGTCTAGATGTCCAAACAATTTGTTCACTCAATAGATTAGCATGTGAGACAACATGTTCCTTTCACGTGAAGCCCAGAGCAACAGCACTGTGCTGGAGATTCTTACAGACTTCAGAAACTGTTAGGGGGGAAAAAAAAAAGGTTTGTGAGAAAATACAGGTAGCTGCAGAACTGATTTCCCCTGGTTCTGAGCCATAACAGATTGTAAACAGTCAAGGAGAAAAATCTGTGGAGGGCTTGAAGATTATTCTGTCCATTAACCTTCTCAAACATAGCTGTAGTAAAAATGAGATGTTGCCAGATACCTTTACTAATGTTCTCTTCTTGCACAGACCTATCTGCCTTAAGTTGTGCTGCTGCAGCTATACAGGCATTATTAAAGTGGTATCTCCCCCTAGTGTAGATACAGCTGTATTGGTATAGAAGCACTTACATCTTCAGAGCGTGTTTCTCACTTTATTGGATAATTTGTAGTTCTCTGTCAGACAGGCTCGGTGGAATAAACACAGCTGTTACAATATAGCAGGGGTTTTTGGCAAAACAAAATTTTTTGAGGTAGTAAAACAGTTAAAATGGTCTTTTTCTAGAACACAAATTTCAAATCGAAAAATCTAATCAAAAGAACAAAGTTATGGATGGGTTTCCCTATGGATGGCATTTGCTACATGCAGTGAAGCCATGGTGACTGCTGACCTTTGCTCAGCCTCTGTTGGTGATTCTTGTGGTCTTCACTGAGCAGTATCGTCATCAATTTAAGGGTGCCTGAATTCTAGCAAAACTTGTTTGGAATAAGCAATTTATTGTCTTATGAAAAATTAAATTGGAAGATGAAAAAGCAGATTCACTTGCTAATGTATCAATATTGTGGAAGACTGCTGATGTTACATCCAGTGGTTTTTTTTGTTTTCTTCTAGAAAAGCATGCTTGCCTTACGGCAGCTAATGCCCAATGCTCAGAGCTTTATCCAGCAGTGTATGCAGCAGCCAGCTCCAACCCAAGAAGCTGTTTCAATTTGTACCTCTGCAGCACCAACTCCTTCGATAGCAGTGGCAACCTCAGCTGTAGCAACAACTTCTCTTCCAGTTGTAAAACCGGTGTCTGCTTCTGTAACAGTCACAGCCTCTCCGGTTACAAAACCCGTCCTTGTCAGTGCGCCAGCGCCAGCTTCTCTGCAGACTGTGAAGCCTGTTCCTGCCTCTGCAGCGGTGACAGCATCTCTTCGGCCTGCAGCTTCAGTCCTCACCACAACGACAGCAACATCAGGGCTGACTGCTATCCAAACTGTCAAGCCAGTCTTCACCTCTGCAGTAGCAACGTCCTCTCTCCAGTCTGCAAAGCCACTGCTGGTCTCTACAGTGGCATCTTCAGCAGCAGCCCCCCTCCAGTCCCTGAAACCGGTCATTGGAACCCCAATCAGTATTAAAATCTCACAGCCGAACTCTATCGTTGCGCAGTCAGTGGGTGCTCAGCAGGTGGTTAAAGTGAAACAGTTGGTAAGATGAATTTCTCTGCTTCTCTGTAGCCAGGCTTCTTTACTTTGACTCATTGTTTTGTAAAGAGAATATCAATTTAGATCTTAGTGGTTTTTTGGGGTTTTTTTAAATATATGAAGCTAGTCTGTCATGAGTTAATCAGTTATGTTTGTCATAGTTAGGGATATTGAGCCCTTGCTGGAAAGGTCACTCTAAAGCCAAGCTGTAAGCTCAGTCTCTTGCAAGACATGCCGACCGTCGTTCCACCAGACTGAACGTCCAGCTTGAGATGCGAGGGGACACGAGTTCTGACCCCTGCTATGCATGCAGCCAGGCTAGGTTTGCATCAGAAAGAAAAGGCAGGAAACGCTAGTGTCAGAAACAGAAATTGCTGGTGGGATGCTTATATCAATTACTATTCGATGCTCTGTTAGGGCTGTGCTTCAGCTAGCCACCAGGGATTCCACTCTCTCTACCTTGGTAGTTCCTACTCTGGATACTTTGCAGGCACCAGGTGGCTTGATGATGTTTAGTGATATGTTAACTGAAATGTACAAACTAGCTCAAGGAGCTTCTCAGAGCAGAGTTCTGACCTCCAAATTTACTAAGACATGTTAATTATGAAGTCATCCAAAAGTGAGCTTTTTCTATCAGGCCTCATTAGCTAATAAATTCCAGGAGGAATAAATGTCTTATTAAAACAATACCCTCAATAGCAATGTGTTAACGTTTTTTTCTTGGCACAGGTTAACTACTTGCTAATGTTAATGTTAAATACCAACAAACTGTGGACCACAGATATACCCAAAAGAGCGAAATGTGAAATACATTAGGTTTTGTATATGGGTGTTTGAGATACTAAGTAGTATGCTGTCTGACTGGTCTACCTGCAAATAATGTTCTCGAGTACTTGAGAGAGAATAGTATCCCTTTGGCAGATAAAGAACTTGATTCTTGAATAGGACTTCCTTGTAAAGATTTACTTTCCACAGGTATATTAGGGCATCTAGTGTGTGAATTTCCTTTGTAGTTTGTTTGTTGTGTATACTTGATTTAACAGTCTTCAGAACCCTAAAATGTTTTGCTTTTTTTCCTTTCAAAGTGCGTAAGGTGGATGCAATACAAGAATCTTGCATTCTAAATAAAGACCTTACACTACCAGCTTTTCACCTTTTCAGATTAGCTTAAAAAGAACAAAGCACTCAACTCTATGGAGAGGATGAGGGGTCCTTTTATGAGTGGGCTTGTTTTAAAAACAGTTATCAAGCATATGCACTAGCAGTCTTTGATGGTAGTAGCTAAAGCCAAATTGGAAAAGGAGTTGATACCCTTACTGCCTTTAAGGACTAAATTTGAAATTCCAGCCAGAAGAAAATGAGGGCTTCTTAGGTTGAACAAGGGCTGGAGAGCAGTCTGTTGGCTACACAGCAAGCTATGTAATTCAGGGGAAAGGTTGACCATCTGTACAAATAGATGAGGAAGCTTAACTCTACACTGGGGAGTCGAAACACTTCTTGAATATGATATTGGTGAACTCAAGAAATGACTTCTGCCTCCTCAACTACTGCTGTGTGGCAGCCTATTGCAATTGCTTTTCTTCGCTGTGCCTTACAAGCATTGAATTGCATACAAAACGTGGTTTTTGATCCTCATTTGGGTAGATCCCAGGCATGGTGATTAGAATACTTGCTCTTCGAAATACCTGTTTAATTTTGGTCTTGTAGTTAAAGGGCTGGGTTGACCACTTTGTAGCTTAGCCATATCAGGAGCTTGGTGTTTGTTCAGACAACGTATTAGCATGAAGAGCACAGTTAGTAGAAGCAGCTGTTATCTTCTAGGGCTTCCCTGGTGCAGTTACTTGAAAGGACAGAGGGTCTGTTTTCCTCCCACAAGAAAACAAAGCTGGACCTCCCCTCCCTGAACAGAAGGGTCCTGCTGCCAGCTGAAAGGAAGCACATGCCAGCTGTGCAAATCTGTCCATACAATGCTGCCAGCAATTTCTTTCCCTTTCCAGCCCGTAGGGTTATCTGATGCCATACACTCCCTCTGCATGCCCATTTCTAATTCAGGTCTCTTGTGCTTGGGAATGTTTAAGTAAACTTTCATGTGCCAGCTCCCATATAACGCTGGTGCTGCTTAAGAATCCAGCACTGCACTATTTTAATACCAAAATTGTGACCAGAGTGATGCAACGTGTAACTGTCTTTTCTGTGGCATGAGTATTGAAACTCTGGGTTTGTATGGTGGACGCTGAGGGACCTGTTCTTCAGGGATGCTGTTGGGGTTGATGGCATGCCCATGCTGTGGGAGTTGCATCTTGGATAGAGTTCCCTTCCAGTGACTTTCTTAACACAGCCTCATTTAAGGGCATTGGCATGCACAGAAGTCTCATCTTGGAGAGAAAGCTTGTCTTTCTGTGGTGTTGTTTTGTCTGTTGTTAAAGCAAAATAAATTAAAATTTACATGACCAGTCGCTGTTTCCAAAGGTGAGAAAGCTGCTGTGAGACTACAGCTTCACATTAAGCATAAAGAGCAAGAGTTTTATGGTGTAGTCCCTGCAATTACCAGTGAGACGTGCTCCCTGGACGTTGCTAGTGAATGCAGCAAGGAGTGAAGTGCTTGTGCTGTTCCAACCACTCGTTCTTAATGAGTTGTTGTTAGTGTCGAGTCCCCTTAGAGCTGAGTTTGGTTGAGCAGAGAATCTCCTCTGTTATTTTTCAAGAGTTTGTTTTTTTTAGTCCTGGATGTATGCCTTTGCATTCAGCGGGTGACGCTTCCTTCATGAAGCAGCACTGCTTGTGGTGATACCTTACCATCTCTCCACTGATCTCCAAACTTTGCTTTATGAATGCAAAACAGGTTCAAGTAGGGCTAATCAAAGTCTCTCTCAGGCAGCTGTCCCTATGCTGTCAGCTGGACGCTACATTGCACTTTTTTTACTAAAGAGTGTTGGTGCTTTTTATTCTGACGTCTGTCAACCTACTTAATGGGGCACTAAGGAACACTCCCTTTTTTTTATTACTTCTTGCTGCTAACCTGAAGAAAAGAGGCAATAGCTCTTTCTTGCAGATATTATCTGGGTTTTTTAATACTTTTTTTCCGGCATTAGATCCTTGTTGAAATTTCTAGGATTGTTGCCCTGTTCTGTTGCAAGTCCCGAGGACTTCCACAGTTTGTTAGTCTAGCAGCTAGAATAGCAAACACAAAATGAGCTTTCTGGTTTCTTGTTGATCTAGTCTCCTCGGTTACTTGACTTACTTCCCAATCTGCACCTAGGCTATTGATTTAACATTGGCTATCTCTGTTCTTTTTGTCTGCCGCACCTTCATCTTGAACGCTTATGTTTCCTCCTGTGCTGTTTCAGTGTTTTGCCATGCTGAAGATGAAGCATCGTTCTTGCTGGTGGTAGGGAGGATTTCTAGGTGCATGGCAGCGTGGGTGCTGGCAGAGCCTGTGTGTAGTTTATCCAAGCAGGTCAGTGGGTCAGTGAATATCTGAACATATAAATGATGCTGTTAACATTATTTTCAACTTCCAGCATATGGAAGCTGGATCTTTCAGAAAGATCAAATGCACAGAAGCAAATGTTAGCCTGTGTACCAGTGTGTAAGGCAGTGCTGCCTGTGTGAGTCCACAGTCCCTCCCTGTACTTCTGTGGTTCTTTCCTCTGCATAAAAAGGTGGGAGATACAGATCTTATGTTTCTTCTCAAGAACTGCCTGTTCATTGTCTAGTTTTCAAACACCACCTTCAGCTCAGTTGTTCTATGTTACTGCTGCTATGGCAAACCATGATGCTATTTGCAGATTAACATGGAGGTGGGTGGGGTGTATCTTGACTATTTGATATGCAAAGTACCTCCTTTTGTGAATGTGTGATACTTACCCTGATGATGTTTACTGATAAATCTGAAGTTAGATGACAGAAGGAAACAGCCTAATTTCTGAAGTATAATAAATGTCAATTCTTTATTTAATTAAACTTGTGCAGTGTTACTATACAAGCACTCTTTAGACTTTCTGAAGTTAGAAAAAAAGATATAGAGGAGAAAAAGTGGTTACTCTGAAATTTCCTTTGTATTAGCTTTTGCTGCTAAAAAAGTAGGATTCAAGCTATGGATGTTGATAATTGTGTGCTTTTACCAAAGCACAAGATTCTTGCTATTACTTGTAATCAAGAACTTTTCCAAAGGATGTATCAAAATCTGCAGCCTGCGTTCTGCTAGCTAAGAGGCTGAGAAATGAGCCTTTTAGGGATGCTGCAATTTTATTACTTTCTTGCATTTTAATAGCAGCCCCTGAAGAGGAAGAATTAGTATTTATGGGCTGTGCCTGTAGGTCTGTGTTGTGATGACATCCTGCTGTCTGGTTTTGTTTCTTTCGAGAGCCTCTTTAAACAAAACTATCAACCCCTTTCCTTTGTACCCTTCAGCAGTGTATACTGATGTTTTTGTGTAGAGGCTCTACTCGCTATAGGTGTTGCTAGTTGGTACTTTGTGTTCCCAGTAACTGATGTGTTCAGGGTACTTTTGCTTAACGCTTTGAAACGCAGCATTTCAATTTACAATTGATGTTGTGGCTCCAAAAATGCATTAGTAACTTTCTAATCTGTACTGTTAATTCTTGACAAGAAAAGGATTTCATGCGAGACTTCTGTTTGGTTTGGTGTTTTCTCTTTTTAACTAGGTGTATGTGATACCTACCCTTTTGAACTTGTTGGCAGGCAGACTCATTATTCAATTGTTAGTCTGTTAAACAAGACTTAAGGAGAGGAAAGCCTCTTAGTGTAATGGATTGTGTAATAACTCAGTGAAACTCGGTCTAATATGGTTATCAATAGAGAGTAGGGGTGAAGTGTCTGCTAGAGCTCACTGAATGAGCTGGAGCTTAAAGCTTACCACCAGTTGTGAAGATTTCTTGTCACGAAGTGGGTTGGTTCTTTTTTTTTTAAAGAAAAAGGTGAGGTTTTTCTGAGCATGCTGTTTGCTTTAAAGTGAAAGCTAGACATGCATGCATGCCCAGCGGCGCTTCTGGCTGAATGAACATGTTGATACTATTTACTTCTCTGTATGTTTAGCTCTTCTCACTCTTGATACTGGATGTTCCACTCCCAGGTAGTCCAACAACCATCAGGAAGCATTGTAAAGCAAGTATCCACACTCCCACAACCCTCAACGCTGACCCTACAGACATCTGCTGAGAAGAGGATGCCGCTGAATACACTTGTTCAAACTAACCAGTTTCCTGCAGGTAAAGGGGAACATTTTTGATGCGGGAGAGGACTGCTGAGGTCTAGAAATAAGTGCAGGCTGTTGGTGGATGGTGGGAATGTAAGAAGGTGGTTGTCTGTCGGGAGCAACCAGCTCTGTGTGTAAGTTGAACATCTTTACTGTCTGCTTGGAGTTCTGATGAGAACTCAGTGCTGTGTCTACTTCTGGCACCTGTTAAAAGCATTTGTACTTGTTAAAGTATTGTAAGCTCCTTGCAGTTTTCACTAAAACCTTTCATTGGTCAGCACAGAGGAGGGTGTTCACGGAGAGCGTGTAGGATTTTTGGCCGTACAGAACTTGTAGAATGTAAGAGTCTAGAGTATCTGGTTTTCAAATGGACCTAATGAGTTGTTATCGAGTCTGCAGTAGCCTTTGCTAGAAGTATGAACTGATTAAACAGTTTTCTTAGCATTTTGTTTTCAACTATGGTGTGTTCTTTGTTTTGTTTTAGGTTCCATTCTAAAACAAATTACCCTGCCAGGAAATAAAATTCTGTCACTTCAAGCATCTCCTGTTCAGAAAGCTAAAATAAAAGAGAATAGAACAACATCCTTCAGGTAAAAATAAACAATAGCAGAAGTTTACTATAGGAAGGAACAAAAGAAACAGACAGCAAGCGTAGAGGTGGGAGCAGAGCCCAAATAAAAGCAACTTTCTTTAGAAACTTGTTTATGATAGGTGTTTTTCACTAATTGGCAAGGGGGAACCTAAAATTTTTGACCTCATAGCAGATGTTAATTACTCTTAATATAAGAAAACTGTCCTGATGAAGTTGGATTTTCATCACAAGAGTGTAATTATATAAACAGTGTGCATTAATATGTATCAATTTTTTTCACTCATAGGGGAGGCATATTGATCCTCATCCTATGAGTACTATTAGCTAATCTAAAGCAAAGTTACCTTGTATTAAAAGCTCTCCATAGGATTAAAGCAGATATAACCTCTGTTTCTTACAGGTGGACAGATAGCAGTGAAGTGTTATTTGGACTGGCTGTTAACCTGTCTAAAGCTCTATGCTATATTTCAAAATCTTTCATTAGCTCCTATTACAAGCTTTTTCCTGTATGTAGAGGTGAAAGTCTTTTACTACACCTCTAGTTATGGCTTCTGGCTTATTCTCTAGGCCTTTAGATTACAAGAATGCTTAAAGCTTTTTAGTTCTGGTAACTGATTAACTTTTCAAAAGCAGAAATTATTCTTGTAGCTCCGAAATGTAATGTTGGAACAGAGGTATGGGCTATTATTGGTCTCCGGACTTTAAGGCAAGCCTGAAGTTGCTCTTCCAGGGATAAAAGCAGACATGACCGTTGTCTTGTTGACCAGTTGACTTCTCATCTCCTGAAAGCTACAGTTTTGTGTGCACTGTTACAGACAGAGAGCTGTTGTTGTGTACACCGAACACTTAAAAAACTAGTAGCCAGAATTTGAAATTAAAAGCTGATGTTAAAGCAATAGCTCTGTTCAGCTGCCTCCAGCTCTTATGAAATATACTTCAGAGTATAATTTGGGATGTAATTTTGGGTAGTAATGTTTGAAAAAGAAATCACTTCATAAACATAACTAAAAAAACCCAACAAAACAAACCACCAAAATCAACAAACAAACTCCCACCAAAAAAACTAGAAACAATTTTTTTCTGTGATCTTCCAATTAGAATATATCAACTGTCTGACATGAAAAAGTTTTGAATTCTTCACGTTCCTTCCTTGAAATGTTAAATTGTTAGTGTAGGACAAACTCTGCTTTTACAGTGTGATCCTAGATGGGTTTCTGTTCTTGCTTTTGGATTATGATTTTCAAAGTAACTTAAGTTCATGAGAATTCAGATTTGAAATCTCTCACTCACCTTAAACTTTTCTAGTAAATCTCTTGAATCTGAAGAATGTATCTCTCTGGATACAACCCTGGTGCTTCTCCTTTTCACTGATATAGCCAAACTTTTTGACCTGAAAAACTACATGTGAGAATCTTTGTATATCTGAACCTGGACAGCGTGTACCTGAACTTCTGGCTTCCCTAGGTCAAGTATCTGTGTTCTCCAAGCAGGTCTAGCACCACATAGCATTACTCTGGCCTGGGCAGTAGACATTCCTTGCTCTCTTCAGTCCTGACTTCTATTATTCCCACCACAGCTGTTCTTTGACTTGTGATCCATCAACTGGCTGATCATTTGTGAGGCAGAGAGAAGCACCATGGCCCCCTTTCAGGTTTTGTGATGAGATTCGTAGTGGGCTGGGAGCATATCTTGTAAGTGATGTGACTACACCTGACACTTCAAACTGTGGCTTCTCATTGTGGTATGCCATCAAGCCTGACTCCCTTTGCTACTGTGTGAGTAGGTTAGATTAGGATTCAGGAATGTAATACTCACCAAGCTGTACTTAATAAGCTGCAGTTTGACCTTGTCTGCTCTTTAATGGGCTGGTCTGGTTGCTTGAGATAAGCAGTAGAAAAAATGGTGATACTCACCCCCCAATTAAAAAAAAAAAAAGTCTTCTAGAAATGAGAAGATTTCAGCTAGGCATGAGCACCCTGGCACTTGATTGTCCCATGGCATGTATTGTAAAGGGAAGTCTGTTTTAAAAGCATCAAGATTTTTATAAACTGTTCTACGTGTTTTCTGTAAAGTATGTGCTAGAGCACCCTGGAAAACATAAGACATGTATTTACATCATCAAATATTTTTTTACATCTGTTCTATTTGAGTTGTTCTCCAAAGCACATATAACTCTGACTTGTGCATTTTGTCTGGAAGGCATCAGTGATCTCCACTAGCAGACAAACAGGAGTGAGACAGCAGAGGGGAGAACATGTGGGCAGCTGCCTCTCCTGCCCCACAGTGGTGGGGAGCGCTGGTGGTTCTTGCTCTACTGGAATTGTTCTGTCCCACGTAGTTGTCTGTGATGGTGCACAGAGGTTTGGGTTAAGTGCGCCTTTCTAGTTTTCCCTTTAACTGTTGTATAAATGGAGTAAATATTCAGAAGACGACACGTGCATTGATGAAACACCAGAGGGTGCCACAGACTCACTTTTCAGCTGATAGAGGCAAATTCATAGATGTGAGGTACATCAGCATTGCTTGGGCTTCTTTTCCAGTGGAATATTCAGTATAAATGTCAAGCCTGACTTCATGCAGGGTAATGCTCAGAACTCTGTGTTCTGTTTTCCCCCTTGTACTGATAAGCTTAAAGCACCGGAGACTTGTAACAGCTGGGAAAGTTTTTTTCTTGTTGATTTCTGGATGTGATGTGATCAAATGCAAAAAGCATTAAAGGAAGTGGTATAGAAGAGGGACTTTACAGAGGGATTGCTGAAAATAAAAGCAAGTCCATATCCAATAGAAATATCTGCATATATACTCTTGAATATTCTAATTTTATCACTTTAGTAGAATGATTTTTATAGCTTACTCAAAGTACATGGTAACTTCCTTAAAATGATTGAGGTTTGTTTGAACAGCAAGGAAAAAAGAAGAGTAAAAAGCAGAAAATGCAGCTTCTGAAACTTACAGTAATCTTTAGTGAGCAATACTTCTAAAGAAATGTAATGATGTAATGTAACTTCTTTGGGTGAAGGAAAATAAGTGCAGCAGTGTTTTCATAGGTGCAAATTAATCTTCCATCAAGGCTAGTGACTTGGTGGCTTAATGTCCCACAGTGATGAAGTTAGAATTGGTCCTTAAAAACAGTAGAGATGTCTACATGCATATAAGCTCTTGTATGCATGTATGCACAAGACTGTGTGCATGGAAATATTAAAGAAAATATTTATTAAAAAACAAAGAGAACTGAAACTTGTGTATGTGGAAAGGTGGATAGATATATAGTATAGAAGTTTACCTCCTTCTTGCTTGAGTATTTGGAGTGCGTGGCCAGATTAAAAGGTAAAATGATTTACTGAAACTGCATGCTATACAGGTTCCAGCATCTGCAGCTCTGATAGCTTGTGTGGCATGTTCTTGGTGCTAGTTGTGCTGATTTTGCAATCTCCTTTATTAGCAGATCCGTGGCAGTCACTGCACTTTGGCTGGATTCTTGTCTCTGCCACCAGCAAAGACTTCTCTGTAGTGGTCATTAAGAAGAGGAAACTGGAGTGTACTTGTGAAGATCAGTTAGCACTCAATTAGCATGCAGTGAAGCTTCATTTACTTCTTGAAAGATCAGGGTCTCAGTTAGACTGATAGAGCATGAGTATATGCTTGGAACTGCTCAGCTGCTGGTTGTGAAGGGGTAGGAGGAGGGAAGAGGTCCTGGCAGCGGTGACTTACAATTCAGCTTTGAATTGTAACTGTGGTCACTTAACCATTCTGACAATACTAGGGTTTAACACTTTCCTTAGCACGATGGATTTGGGGCACAAGCCTAGTCAGGAAGCTATATCTAGTTAGGCTTAATGAAGCTGTCTTGAGAATCCATTGGGTCCCCCTTTCCTCGAACAAATCACATAGAAACTCCTAGCCATGAGGGCACAGAAATGAATGGCGGGAGGAGTAGCGGAAGGCTGGACTCATTTCCTAGCCAGGCTTCTCTCTAGAAGTTTGTGGGAAAAGAGTTACGCTACAAAAACCTATCGAAGCCCAAAGGAGAAAAAGCATCTATAGTCTAAGAAAAAAATCCCGCAACTTTCTTGTGTCTTTTGAGTATTGCTCAAACTCAACCCATGTTCTAATAACTTCATTTTCTACCTGCTGTCAGGCAGAAGACAGCCTCCAAGAGATCCCATTTCACCTAAGAATGGCAAGTTTCTGACTAACCCCTTGTTCAAGAGTTATGTAGGCCACACAGTATTTTCTGAAGAACTTTATCAAACCTTGCCAGAGAATACTTTTCAGGAGGAGTGAGTGTGTGGTTTTTGTTTTTCTTTTCTTTTGTTTTCCAAATCAAAAGACCTTTGGATTGAGTAGTTCCACCTGTCTGTATTAATAATGCTGGCTTGCGTCAGTTCTAAACCCTTGAAGCTACTGTTAGAGCCTTTGTCACTTTGTGAAGCAAAAAAAGCTTTCTTTTGATGATCTAAACTTAATCGAAAATAACTTGGCTATTTTCATTGCTAAAGTCTTGCAAAAACTTTTCCCATATGAAATTCATTCAGTATTTTATCTAAAATGATTAAAAAAAAAAAAAAAGAAAAAAGCTGAGGCTTACAAGCTATTTGCTTAACACGAGCTTTGCCATGATTACAGCTAGCCTTAGTTCTATTAGCCCTATTATTAGAGGTCTGCTGCTGTTCTTCAGAAGCATAGCATCCTCCCTGCTATGCACTTAAGTACTGTATGGTAGGACTGAGTCAAAGGGTAAGGTCTGGTTGGTTCTGTATACCACTGACAAGGAGCATTTTTATCTTAATTTTTAAGGGAACACACTAAAAGAAAAGATCAGGTTTGTGCTAATACGCTTGTGCTGTAAGCTTCAGTTTGTAGGGTGGGCATCTCAGAAAATAAGCTTGTTGGTATGTTCAATGAGTCAGTATTCAACTTTATTCATCACTTGATTCTACCTGGTGAATTAAAGTTTTAGAACAAATTTCGGGCTGTGAGAGTGGTGGTGCAGGGTGGGGGGCTTGTGGGGACTTTTAATCCAACTTTACCTCAATCCTTGGTTTCTGAGCTTGCTTCAGTTTCATGTAAAGGATTTGCATGCCTAGCAACTGAGTATTAATCAGGCTAACCTTTGAGAGGCACGTCACTGAAGTGTGAAAGGTCTTGGGAGCCGCCTGTCCCTGTCCACGGCCACGCTAAACATCTATTGTATAGGAGTAGCCTCCAAGATACGTGAATGTTTGTTGATAGTTAGGAGGCTTTTTGTTTGTATCCATTTTGAACCAAGCATAAAATGTTGATTTTCTCTTTAGCAGAGATGAAGATGACATAAATGATGTGACTTCTATGGCTGGGGTCAATCTCAACGAGGAGAATGCGTGCATTTTGGCAACAAACTCGGAGCTTGTTGGTACAGTGATCCGCTCTTGTGCAGATGAACCTTTTCTCTCATCGGAAGCACTTCAGAAGAAGATCTTGAACATAGGTGAGAACAAAGCATACGTAATATGTATGTACATGTGTAGTATTTCCTTGCCTGTTCCATCAGCCAGCCTCCAATCTTTGAAGAAGGAGCTGGAGCTATTAAGATCTGCCATCTCAATTCATGTGTTTCTACCAAACTATACTGAGTTTTTAAATCCCCTTCTGGGAAACAACTGTTTTCTGCTTTTTACGTGGAAATAGTCTGAAGCACAACCAGAAAAAAGAAATTGGTGCCACTTTTACATGTGAGAACTGAGCAACTTTGAAGTTAATGGAACACAAAACGACCATATAGATGCTAGTGTCAAATCAAACACTTAAGCGTGCTTTGCTATTTCTGCACCTTCTAACTTGATGCATTACACTGACTTTGCTAACAACTTTTGCATTCCTCAGCCTGTTCAGATACATGTACTCTATTGACCAACGTTACAGATCCTGCCCATGTGATTAGGAAGAAGTTTCGAAGTGCCAATACGTACAGGGCAGACCTTTGTTTATGACTCCTTCTATGGAAAAATCTTTCATTAATTTTATGCAAAAAATGTTAAAGCTGTTTGTATTAGTGGATAATACTGGGGAATGTATGTTGAATGGCTGAGACTAAACTGTAATAGGAAGTTTTTAGAGTATGTATCATCTCGGCTGTTAGTTTCTGAGCAAAATAATAACTGTTGCTTAGCAATGTTGTATTATGTCAGAGCAGGGAGCATGCATTTGTATAGCACCACGCTGATTGGTACCACTGCTGTGTACAGCAAACTGGAGGAACATTGCTCAACTCCTTGCTCCTGCTCTCTGCCTGGTAGCTTGCCATACTGGAACAGTGAGTTTTACCGCTGAGTGTTCAGGAAAGCCTGCAGTTGGTACGTGCAGTCATAATTCTGTCACAGTCGTTTAACTACGTGATTGCAAAGTCTTTCTACACACCACTTGTTCTTAGTCCAAACTAAGCAGCTAGCCCGTGACAGGAGTGTAACCTGCAAATGCTATCTGCTACCTCAGTACAGCCCACACCAGTTAGCCAGATGTGCCATCTGAGCTGTGTGGGGCATTGTTGAGTGAAGTAAGTGCTGCGCTACTAGTGGAAAAGGGAAAATACACATTGAAACTGGTGCCTAGAAGCTTTTCTCAACATTCAGTAGACGGTTAACCAGTCATCCATGGAAAGTAGATATAAGGAGAAAAAAAAAGACCTCGACAAAAATATAAAGAGAAAGGACTTATTCTACAATAAGTATCTGGTTTGGGGTGTGAAGACAATTCATCAGAAGATGGAAAATACAATTCTGGCTGTTTCATGACTGGCATGGTAGCCGTTCCATGTTATTATAATAATAAATATTATGCATGTTGTAAATGAAAAGTGTTTTGATTGCAAGGAAAGGAATACTGTCAGGGAGTACAGCAATTCAGAAAAGGAACCCTTCTGCTCTTGAACCGAGCCCTCTTTGGTTTAGGAAGTGTGTGTGGAAGGAGGTGTTGCGTTTTGGAGGGAATTTGGTTTATCTTTAAGTTGATGTTTCAATATTCTGATCGTATAGTGGGAAACTGCTGAGAGAGTGGTGAAAGGTACTTCAGCAAAATGAGCTTTGCAGGCAGCTATGGTACGGGCCAATGCTTATTGGCCAAGATAGAACAGCGGGAATACTTTGCTTGTATCTGGGAAAACATTGTAGATTCTCCCTGGCTTGTGAGATTGTTACTCTTTTTCAGTTAAAGTAGCAAAGGCAAATGAAACAGGTGATTAGGTTTTGTTTACAGTGTACTGTTTATCCATTCTTAACACTCCACTTGGCAATAAATACCAAAATAGGTTTTTGAAGCCATGCTGTATATTGAATCATAAAGTATTACAGCTGCTGTAAATGCGGTGAGGGGCAAGGAAAAGCACTTCTGATAGGTATGGCGTGTGAAACTGCTGCCTGCCGTGCCTACCAGGGCAAAGTTGCTGCCATCCAGGTGTCTTGACAGACTTGTGTTGAGCGATTGATGGTGTCAGCCATGGGAAGGCTTCCCTCATCAGCAGCCCGCAGCCACAGGAAGGTTGCAAAGGTGATGCCCAGCTCTGGGCACAGGGCCGGGACAGATTTGCTTGGAGCTGTCGCCAGCCTCGGTCGCAGCTGCTGAAATGCAGAGAGGCGGCAGCAGCCTGGGAGAAAAGGTTGAAGGTGATGGCATGATGACCCTGGCCGGACTTGATGTATGTTGTCCGAGCTGCTGCCGTGGGACAATGGGGTCGGTCTGCCCTGTACTGGTCGGTCGAGGCAGGTGAGAGGATCCCATGTGCTCGGAGTGCGCTGCAAAAACCATCCCTGCTCATTGAATAAATGTCATGAGTTGTTAACAAGCACGGTGTCAAGTAGGGCAAAATGTAATTCTCTATTTTTTTTTAATTACTGGAATTAACAGAATATGGCACTAATTTCTACAGCTACCGCTTCTCCCCCTCCCCGAACATGAAGCTTGATTTGTGTTCTTATTAACTTTGTCCTATAAATGACCTTGCAAGGAGAGTGGTTCTGGAGGCTAAGTGAAACAATGTCTATATTTTCTGAAGCTCCAGGCTAAGTTTTATTAATGTAATGTCTAAGATCTTTGAAGTTGTGACTTTACCAGGAAAATCATAATCTCCAAACCTTTATTCATAATGGGTATGACTTCCAGGGGGAACAGAATACCTGCTGTGCTAATTATTTCAATTATCAGCTACTACTAAAACACGTAATGGATTTTCTCTGCTTCCACAGGTAAAAGGCATGACATTATGGAACTTAACTCTGATGTTGTGAACTTGATCTCCCACGCTACACAGGAGAGATTACGAGGGCTCCTAGAAAAACTGACTGTAATTGCTCAACACAGAGTATCAACCCACAAGGTAAAGGAAATCATTAAGCAAGTTTTGCACCAAAGTTTTCCTGCTTTGCAGCCTTGAAGGTAAACCTCTTCCAAGTATAGGTACATCATATGCAATATGTGCATTTTCCGTATCTACCAAAGGCTGATTTTGTTTTAACTGTTTATAGCCTCTAACTATTTCTTACGTTTTCCAATGTACTTGTTGGGTAGGTGCTCTTAAAACCCAGCATGAGAGTAAATGCACGTGTTTCTCCTCTTCCATAGAAGCGGTGGCTGTTATACAAAATCTGTCTTGCATGGTAGATGTAAAGCTATTTTTGAATGCTCTTGGTGGTCGGGTTGATTTGGGGGCTTGTGTTTGCTTTACGCATTTACTGTTGGTAGAACTGCAGTATTGGCTCAGTAAAAACCCTTGGGAAACTGAACGGAGTATTTTATTTTTAGAAAGTTCTTCATGTGAAGGCAGACACCCCTTTGATCTTAAAGTTCCTGGAACTTTTTTTCTGCCAGTGCTACTTAAGATTCTCTCCCCTCCCTCTTGTATATTAGCTCCATTCAATATAAAGTACATTGGGTTCCAGTGAGCCAGTATCCTTGAAGATGCCTGTATGGTACAAATGGGAAGCAATAACTTCCTAGAGGCCAAAATAGCTCTTTTGAGGCCTTTTTTATCGTTCAATAATAAGATATTAACCCTTAATTTTTTCAGTATCAAGCTGCTTTAGAAAAAAATTCGAAGTTAGGAGCAGATGTATCTATCAACTCTTAAATTCTTGTTTGTTTGGGTTTTCTTTTTACAGGAACTTTATACTTAATGAAATTTAATGAGAAGCTAACTGATGGGATAGGAGTTATTTTTGTGCTGAATGCTTTTTATAGGCTTTTAAGCACTGGAGAAGCAATAGTAAAGACCAGGAACTATTTGGAAACTTCCAAATATTTATAGTGATGTCTGGAGTAGTTGGAGTATGCTGTTCCTTGCCAGAAGAAGATGCAGTAGAAAGAAAAAATCAATACAGAAAAAGTATAGAGTTTTTAAATGAGAATTCTTTAGAAATCTGCACATGTTCTGTGTTGTCTCTCCAAAGTGGGAAATCCAGTAGGGTTCATGAGCAAAAGTGAGATGGAGGCTGAAGTCCTCAGTAACCAGTCAGAGTTAGTGTCTTGCAGACAGAGGAATGTGTGCGGACAGTGGGCTTGATAGGGCTGATTTTTCCTTCTCATCGAACTAAAGCAATGGAAAAACTGATAGGTTTTTGTCTGATTGAATTTCCGAAGCAATGATAAGATTTTAAGGCTACAATAAGCTTGCTTTCTTTTCCTCTTTTCTCAAAAACAACACAAACAAACAAACAAAGTAATGGGCATAATAACCCTGGAGGCACAGGTACCCTTCTTCGTTAGGAAGATGGTATTACATTACAGAGGAGTGTCCTACAGGGTTGTGTTTGTGAGTAATATTACTGTGAGAGTTGCTGACAGACTTTTAGAAATCTAAGTTCAAGACCAGAACACTACAGGGTTTTGGACCCCTGTTATGTATTTATATATGCATTTACACAGCCCTGTATTCCATCTCCCTAGTGCTTGCCCCATCCTCTTTTCCCTCTAGGCTATTGATAGGCATTGGTTTAAGGGGTGAGCTCTAAATGTAGCGGAGGAGTGAGCACTCTTGGATGTGAAAACAGCCAGCCTCCTCCTACCCACCTCATGCTGCCATCAAACTGCAGAGTGCAGAAGTAACTTATCAGAAGCTTTTCTGTTATTAACTTGGTTTAGGGGTTGACTGTATAAAAGCCAAAGCTATATAGGTTCCCGCATAGTAGCTGAGCCTCTGCAACTCCCTCGTTCCTGCTCTGTCCTCAGCAAGGCTGTTCAACATGACTTAAACTGTTCAGATTTCATGGGAGAACTGGTCTTTGTGGGATTCTTCCAACTTCTTTCCTGGTGGACTGGAGTGCAGCTTATATGGAGAAAAACTGAATCTAAGTTGCTTCATCATAACAGTAATGGCTACAAATTATGAACAGGTATACAATAAAATGTCTTCTGCCTGAGCAATTCAGTGCTAAATTATCACAGAGAACAAATTTATTGAGTAGGACAAAATATAACCACAGGTGTTCCTCTTCTGAAAAGGCCTGAAATAAGATATCTTAAAACAGTTGTTGAGCTGAAATGCTGTTATGAACGTACTCATTTTTTGTCCCATCTAAGCTCATGGTAGGGCATTGGGGTGCTTCTGGTTGAGAGGCTTGTGTTCCTGATTGGCGTAGAGTCTTGAATTTGACTTCAAAAAACTAAGTATCTAACTCCAAATTTGGGCATTCCAAAGCAAAACACTTCTAAACTTTGGAAAAAATAATCTTCTAGTAATATGACTTTCTTCTTTGTCCCTTTAAAAGGATTGCAACATGGTGGTGTATTATAAACTGCTGCTTCAAAAGAAATTGTGCTAATGTACTGAGACTGACTCGAAGTAGTGTATGTTTTGTGGGGAGCAGTGAAAAAAATAATCTTGAGCAGTAACAGAAGAAGGAGGAAAGGCTCATTGGACTTTTTTTGCAGAGCCACAGACTCTGCTTGGGAATAAAAGTCTCCTTGGTTGCAACACATGGTGTGGTCTGAGCCGCAGTTGGTGATCCATGATAATGTGGTGGCTCATTGAAAAGGAACAAACTTAATACCAGAAGAGTGATTGATTTCATGCTCTGGCTGGGTTGTGAGAATTCAGATTGGGAGACAATGGTGCCCCACCAGAAGACTTTCACTTTCCTCCCAGCTTTTAAAAGTATGTGAATGGGTGTAGTAAGAAAAGTCTGAGTGTCGTGTGTTTGAAAATTAAAAATTTAGCAACGGAAGTCACTGATAGTCCATAAACTTAAAATATACACTTGCCTAAAATATAGCTGCAAAATATTTTGTGCTTATTCCGGAACAGTTGTCTCAAGGTTGCTTCATTAAAGTGTGAGATTGGAGTAGGGTAGAAAGAAGGGTTGCTGAAAGTATATGGTGTGTTTGACTTGTAAAAGCCCACGGATAAATTTCTCAGGAAAAGACAAGTTCACAAAGTCACAGGGAAAGAAGATGACTCTAGGACGTGCATTAAAGAGTGGTACAAACAGGTGGTACAGACATGCCTCATCTAGAATGAGCTCCCTGCTTTGTTTTGCCTAATGCCCTCTGGCCAACGCATGGCTTAAATAGCCTGTCTTTGGAAGAGCAGACTAGTAAAAACAAACTTTTCATTGCCAGTTGACCACGTTTTAGATGTAAAGTAAAAGGAAACTTGGTGAACTAAGTAAAACTAAATTCAGACTTTCCAGTGAGGGCAAAAATAGTATGAAAGATAAACTACTGATTGTTATTTTTTTAGACCAAAAGGATTGTAGTCTTGTTTCAATGCATGAGTGTCCAGTTATTGTTGGAACTATTCATTAGTATTCACTGGCCCAGCTTTGCACAGGGGGCTAGACCAGATGATTTGCACTTCTATGACTTGAGAGCATCCACTGAGGCAAAAATATATATTCCTAAAGCTATGATAAACCATATATAGTTTATGTCATTTTCCCCCTCCCCAAGATTCATTATAATTACTTGTAAACCACCCCTCTGCTCCATAAAACTTCTTTTTGGAAATATCAGATGAGGCTTATTTCAAATTCTGGGTTAAATGGCTGAAACTAGAACACCAAAGACTGGAAACTTAAAATGTCAAATTTTATTTTTTCTTTACCCTTTTTATTTAAAGGGGAAAGAATATGATAATGTGATGTTCTACTGCTTTACAATTTCTTTTTTTTTTTCTTTTCCCTTCTTAACCTGTCCAGAAGACAGTCTTGTACATATGTTTACAGGTTATAAAGTTGCTGTTTAAAACAAAATTTTAGCCTTTAGACTTAAAAACTTTATTGTTGTTATAGTCAATATAGACTAGACATTGTTAATGTCACTTGTTCAATAACTCTTACTAATCACAGACGCCAGGGAACATGCTTCAATGGAGAGGAGATGTGTAAATGACTACCTACCACTGAAGTCTTTCTAAAACAGCCTACACTTTTCAGCTTTGAAAAAATAGCATTGTTCTTTTCAGGTTGTTCCCATTGGGTTTATTAGCTCTAGCGGTGTTTATAAAAGTCTGGTCGTCTATAACAAACTTCTCTTTCCAGGGGAGTGATAGGTACATCGTATCTAGCGATACCAGAGCACAGCTGAGATTTCTTGAAAAGCTTGATCACCTAGAAAAGCAGAGAAAGGATGAAGAGGAACGTGAAATGTTGCTTCGAGCAGCCAAGGTAAGAACTTCACTTCTTCCTTTCCAAGGAAGTAGTGGTGTCCTTTAGACTGGTGAACATCTTCAAGTTTCTCCTATTTCTGCTTTAACTGTAGTAACCATTAACCCTGTAACTGGAAATCCATAATGTTTAGGATAGCTTAGGCCATACAGAAAAGGATTTTGGCTTTTTACGTTCTTTAAAGAAAAATCATGGGAGTTCTTTCAAATGTGTGGTGGGGTGAACTCTTCCTTTGAGATTATTCCTATTGGTCAAAATGAAATAAAAAAAGTATTCACATAGCTGTAAACATCCTTCCTGGCTCTATTTCTGGCTCTGAAATTGGTATGTCTTTCTCCGTATCTGTGTATGGCACTACTTGAAAATATGGGCTCACTGTTCTTGTTAAAACTGGAGCCTGGTGAAATCCACTGCCCTGATGGATGCATTTGTTTTCTGTAGTCAGATCAGAGGACTAGCCTTGGAGCTAGTACCCTAGCATCTGCAAACCCCTGATGGAGCTACTCTTCTTCCCTCTTCCCTCCCCTCAAGAACAGGAGCAAAAATAAATAAATCAGTAGATGTTGCTCCATCTGATGTGACTTGATCATCTTCTGTTTGGTGGGTGGGATTTTTTGGTTGGGTGGTTTTTTTGGGGTGTTTTTTTTTTTTATTTCAAGCTGAATTCTGGAGCCCCTTGGGTTTAAGCCTAATCTAGGCTTGAAAGAATTGTGTTGTACTTGCACGAGTATGACTCCCTTTCTTTCCTATACTTCCTGTCCTTTTTAAGTGTCTGCTGCTGACATGAACAACATCATGCCTAGACTGGACCTGACTGACAGTGTTAGCATCATTTTCAGCTTAATCTTGCTTCAGGCTAGAGCAGAGGCAGCCGGCCCAGATGAGGAGGGGGGTTGTGCGTATGTGCGTGGAGGGGGAGGGAAGCCAGTCTGGATTGAGGCATTCACCCCTGGAGCTAAATCTTTCAATCACCAGAGAAAATTGTCATTTATTAAATATTTAACGGATATGATGGTGTTTGGATGCCAGTAATTTCTATTCAATCTTTTTCCTCTTCCTTTGGTAGAGCCGTTCCAATAAAGAAGATCCAGAGCAACTGCGGTTAAAGCAGAAAGCGAAAGAGGTAGGACTTTCCAGTTACCATGCTTGCCTTTGTGTGTTGAGAGAAGGTTGGCAGCCCTGTCCTGGCAATTAGGTCAGGGTTTATTTTGCTGCTGCATACCATTTGCAGAGGCCTTGGGGAAGGACAGGAACTGCCACAGGCAAGGGCAGTGCTTCAAATGAGGTCAATGAATTATGAGCTCTCTTTTTTAACATTTTATTTTTGTAGTTTTAGTCCTGTCTAGAAACGGTCCTTTGTAAACTGTAGCAGTACACTTTGTAGGAATATAATGTGGGATTAGAAGAAGGAAAAAAAAAAAAAGAAACTTTGAGATTTAGCATCTGGGACTGTACAATAGGCTACATTTTTCCAGGGTAATTGTTCGTTTTGTAAATCTGATACTGCTTATAATTCTTTGGCTGGGAGGCGGTACTGGGATTTAGTTTTAAATGGAAAACGCCTCTGGCTTTTAATTTTCTGGGCCCAGCAGTTTTCTGTTCTGGAATGGAGCCCTAGTTTCACACAGTTCATGTTTAGCTGCAGGGGTTTTAGTTTATAGCTTAGACTGGTTAAGCTTTTACTCCCAGAGGCCTCTGCATAGCAACTGTAGAAATCAACAAATAAGTTCATTTATGTCTGCAGCCTCCTCTCAGTAGCTGACTTTTTACATTTCCCAATATCCATTTCCTGACTTTTCTAGCCTGAGAGAAAAAAGCTCCACTAATTGGAGCTTATTTTAATTGAGCCTTAATATTGGATCTCACTGGAGTTGCCCCCAGAGCTACTGGGAACAGAATGAAATGAAAGTACCTAAGGTTGAAGATGTGTGTGCGTGTGTATGTGTGTGTGAAATTTTTCACTTGACCTACAGATTCTTTTCCCTGCTGAATAAATCATCAAGCCTGTTCACATTTCTGATTAAGGATCTGACAGCAGACGATAATAAAGACAATTGAGGTGTGAGACGTGTGATACAGAGCTGAAGAAATTGGTTTCTATAGTTACTTGACTGATTTCATGCAATTTTTAAGGATCTTTGTGCTAAATGAGAGTGATTTTCTGAGCAACCTTTTTCCTTAACTGTGCCTCTTGAACTATGAAATTTGTTGTTGCTTAACATTGCTGCACTTGGCTCCTAGGTGCCAGCAGCAGCAGCAGGTTATTTATGAATGCTTTAAAGGCCCTTATTGTTTGGATTAATGTAGGAGCCCAGGCAAAACAAATGAAAATCCAGTAAAATAGTATTAGAATCAATGCTCTGGATTTGTGCCATAGTAGAAGAAATTTGTAAAATAAGAGGAGAGAAGGAACTTGCTTTACTATCTATCTTCTAATTCTTTCTTTCTGCTTATAACTCTTTCTTCATGCTTACAATCTGTGAGTACAAAGTTGCCCTAAAGCCCTTCCAGGTTTGCCTCTAGTGCCGCCAGGATCAGCAATCAGTGGGTGATGCTAATTTGTCTTGTTTTGTAGGTAGCTTTACCTCTGCATCATCTGGTCTTTTCTAGAGGTTCTTTTTTTTTAATATAACACTGCAAAGCGATTCATTTATGCAGCTTCTTTTCTCTTTTTCTCTGAACAATAATGTGTAGGATTTTGAAAAATATTCTGTGATTTGGATATTTAGAACAGAAAGTTAGGTATGTGGTTTGGATCTTTTTTTAGATTGGTTGGTATTGTTAATGAGATTTCTTTTTAAAAGTGGCATATAGGTGTACAAAAAAGGAGCCAACAGAGCGAAGAAGGAGTCTTAATTTTAGTTCTTGGTGTTCACCCACTTCTGTGTATCTTATCTTGTGCCAGACTAACACAGCCTTCATCGCATTTGTCCTGCATATTTCTCCATGCTGTGCTGCTCCCAGAGTGATGGTCTGTGACTGCTTCACCAAGAGGAGATGTGCCTCTTGGGACAACGCAGATCTTTGTGTTGGTATTGCCTTGCCCTCTGTCCTGCTGCTTTGTTCTCCGGAGAACGAGGCAGCCAGAACTTCCCCAGGCTTCCTGTGCCGCACGGGAAACCCACCTTCTGTGCCAGGGTGCTTTCTTATCTGTGAGACCGTCTCAAGCTTGAGTGGAAATGAGCCCAAATGCAGCTGGTCAGTTTTGTCACTTTATTGACAGTTTGGAGATAAATGGTCAGCACACATTTGCATTAAAAAATGCAAACGTGAGTAGAGCTGGAATAAGAGAAAAATAAAAATCGACCAATATCCCAAGGCTGAAACTGGTAACACAGAAGCACAGTGTGTACTGGGATGAAAGCCTGAAAAGGCTCACCATTGTCTGTCTGTCTTGTTGTGTTGTGAGTGTAGCCTGCTCCTAAGAAACCACACTTGGGAAATTTGGTACCTCTGTCAGCTGAAAACAGATCCTTTCCAGGACACTCTGGTTGAGTATCCACTGGAAAGCCTGATCTGATCTACTTAAAGTTCTTTAAGAATGAATATGGCCCTTCTTTCCTTAAAACTGTCTTTTATGTGTTGATGGTGACCCCTGGGAGAAGGGAGATGGTGTGGGGTAATGGCACTGGAGCATGTTCTAAAGCAATGTTTCCCAAAATGCAGAGTGTACATCCTAACAATGAATACTTATAAATCCAGGATGTGCTGTCATCCAGCAGCTGGAGGCAACATCTTCACATTGCTGGAAGTACATCCAGAGACTCAGCAGTGGATTCTTTTATCCAAAAGGCTATACATAATTGCCGTGACCTTTTCATCCCTTTTTGCATGACCTATTACCTCAAACTTCCCCTGTGCTAAGTCATTTACTTTCCTATATTCTTAGTCTATGAATTAAGTCTTTATTTACTTCCCCCTTTACCTGTTTTCAGCAGATTTTAATACCTACAGAAAGTGTGCATTCCTTCTCAGACAGCTAGAAGGCTTGCCCCAAGCTGCTCCTTTTGTGCACTCAAGAATTTTGTCCTTGCTTACCTCATGGGCCAGCTCTTTTGCAAAGGCATTCTCAAAGTCTGGGTGAATTACCCCTGCTTTTCATTCAGCCTTATCTGCCACTGCAAGCTGAGAGGATACAGTCCTTGCATTGTCCCTGATGCTTGCACTTTTAAACCATTACTTTTTTTTTTGTTGCTTTCTGCTATTTCCTGTTCTACTTTCAACTATACTTCCAGTAACAAAGAAAATGTTTAGTAGGAGCAATTCTTTTAGCCTTATTTTATAGTTTATCTCTGGCTTCATCCCTTTTCTGAAATGAACTTACTTAAACTGAGTAGGTGTAGGATACTGTCAAATGTGCAAGTGTGCCATATGAACAGTGCATCCCAGAAGACCTGTAAAAATGTCAGCATTAAGCAGTGTGTACTGTAAATTTAAATATAAACCCTGATCTTTTGTACTTCTGTCTCTCATCCTCAAAAGTGAATGTGCTTGTAGCAGGGCTTCCGAAAGCTTAAGGCTGAGGCTGGGCAAACCTTTTGGATTGTACGTGTGCAAGATTGCTGCTTGGGGTGGAGCAGGTGAGCGGGTATCGTATTGATAGCATCTTTGCTTATTCCGTGGTAGCTACCTTCATCTCTGCTCTTACTTTGTGGCACCTTGCGGCATCTATCAGTTGATAAAGGTGAGCAGCCGCATCTTGAACTAGGGGAAGGAGTGTGTGGAGCACCTGATGGACAGCAGATCTTGCCTGCCCCATTCCTCCTGCTTCTTCCAGCAGCTCTGCTCACATATGACTGCACAGGTCTTCCCAGTCCTTTGTTACTGCCTGCTTGATGCACTTGTGCATTTTACTGTTACAGTTTTGACACAGATGTCATAAGACGGTAGCAGATGAGATGTTGAGAATGTTCAATACCTTTAGTATCAACTGGGAGGAAAATAGCAAACCCTAGGGTTTTTTATAGAAACAAAAACATTGGAAAAAAAAGTCTGTATGATTCCAGTGAGTTCCTGGGTGCTATAGAGTAGTGACTGAAATTTAGTTGTTCTGTAGTATCTTTTTTTCAAAAATAATCTTTTTTTTTTTTTTCTCTATTTCATGTGTCCGCCCTAACACTCTGCCTTATTTCCTCTTACATCCTCAGATAACAAGTAACTGTATCCTGATTCTTTGTCTACTTCTCTCCCTACTGTCTCCAACCCACATTTTCTAGCTGTTTGTTTCTTTTTTTCCCCACACCTCTTGTGCTGCTTCTGTATTTAGTCTTCTGGACCTACTGGTTCAAATTCTTTAAGACCACTCTTGTGGCAGGGGAAAAAGAAACTCCCTAGTTAACCATAATCTCTCAAAAAAGCAAATATGATGCTGTGAGCAAAGTAAGATCTCATCGCGATCAATTGGCTTTTATGAGCCTTCAGTGGCATCCTGAGAGCTTCTGCTTAATTATCTGATTTATATATTATCTTTATTGTTCCATAGTGTTTCTTACCTGCTTCTGCGTGTTTTTAAAAAGAAGCATGATTATTGAACAGACACAAATTTTGTTACCTGCAGTGTAGCCCTACTCATCAGAGATTCAGTGTGTTATGAGTCTTGCAGAAAGTCAGGGAAGAAATCCTCTTGGTGTTTAGAAGGAGCATAAGAAAAGAGGAGCTGAGATACTGTGTCGGATACCCTGAAACCAGCTGGCTTGGAAGATGATAGTAACTACCTTTAGTGAAAACCAGACAGAGAGCGAGCTTGATGCTGGATGCTAGACACCCAGGAACTTCTCTGGGCTTCCAAGTAAGGCAAGCTGATGAGACTGCACAGGTGAAAGCGTGCATGCTCCAGGTGTTATAGAATAACAGACATGCATCAATAATTGTTAAGCAAAACAAAGAAAACTCTTGTAAAGGGAAGTACACACTGCAGAAAATCTTAACAAGAATGGGCAAAAGCAGGAGTCAAGAAGTCAATGCATCCTGGACTTTTTTCTTAAATTTTGTGAGGACCTAGTTGCTTATATATTAGAGAATGTCAAATATCAACTGGAGAAATTTTTTTTTTTTTTTTTCTTTTGGTAGCTTACTTCATGGCTATCCTGGAAAAAAATGCTGTTTTCTGAAACGTCTTATTGC